CCAAGGACTCCACCATTGCTAACACGGATGACTCTAATGGACCACCAGAAGAAGCTGTTAATTCATCAGCGCATGAAAAAGACCATGAATTGGACAAAGCAAAAGAAAAGATTCCAGCAGAACAGGAGCAACAGTCTTCAATTATGATCAGGTGAGCCAAAACTAGTATTTTTTTTTCCAGCTTGTTAATTTTGTTTAGTACATAATGACAGTTTGTACTTCTTTTTATCACAAGGTCACAATACATGTACATGTTCTAGTCAGTTATTGATGCGGAGAACGGCACATTGTAAAAACAATTAATGATGTGCACTTTTCATTCTAGTGGCCTGCTGTGTTACAGTAAAAACATCTGTAATCAGTTTAGTTACGCTTATCATAATACATGCAGTTGTGAACAAAAACAGTGTATTTAACGTCCAAACCCAGGGTTTTCTGTTAGTCGATGACTATACCTGTACCTCCTTCAATGAAATGAAGAACCTAATTAAGTTAATTGCCAATAACTACCAGAAATACAAGAACCGTTTTTGCCAGACTTCAAAACATAAAATTTCTTACATGTGGGTTTTGAGTGTATTATTTACTCATGTGGCATATTGTTAGAAGTTAGGTCTTGGCTTATGAAAAAAAGTTGAAATCAGGCAAATTTTGTTGGCTTTATGCAGCTCGCCCTTGCAAGTTATTGTTGACCATCACTACCTTGGACCACTGTGCTTGCAGTTTACTGGCTTGCCATCAGTTGCTGATGTGAAAAATGAGATAATGGAGCGGCATGGACTACCCGTAAAAGATCAGAGAGTTTACTGTGATGATAAAATGGTACTGGTGATTGTGTTAGAAAGAATTGTAATACACCATTTTCAATATATTAACATTCGTGCTTGGCTCCGAGGCTTGGGGGAATAGACCAAAGAAATGTATTATTCATTACTGAGCCTCAAGATGTTGTCTTTTGTTTTATTCCCCCAAGCCTCGCAGCCAAGTATGAATTTTAATTTATCGGGATTGCTCTATTAAATGCAGCCAAAAGACTTTCTCATAACCATAAAAACATTCTTAAAATGTATGGATTTTTCCACGTCTCGTTAGATTTGTACATATAGTCCAGCATATGTGATATTGGCTGTCCACAAGAGGTTATTGTGCAAAAATCCATTTAGAATTGTTGACATGTCGATGGAAGCTGCAAACATATAAGTTAGCCTGCGTAGTTGGCGTCAAAATGGATAGAGGATTGGGGGAAGGAAAAAAGGAGGGGAATTGAGGAGAGCGGCTTCCCTTTTGCGCTTTTCTCCCTCGCCCTCTTCTGTTTGCGCCTGCCACACAGGCTAATATAAGTCTTCATGCATCTTTTAAGAGGTAAGTTCTCCATGACTTCACCTATAATTATGTTCAGCCTATAAGCCTGTTACAAACAACTAAAGCCACTTTTATTTTTTTAGTCTGTTGTGTTAACTTCGTCAGTGACACCTGTACAAGAGAAAATGATAGAAAATTGTTGTCGGGACACTGCAACAGCCTTCACCGAGTATGGCGGGCACTGTGGATTGTAGTCTGTTATTGCAACTTGTGATATGTTTTTTTCCACAGTTGTGTGACACATTTCTCCTGAGACCTCTCCTTAATAACATTGATGACTGTTTGACCTTAACTCTGTCTGTTGGATCCCTTAAAGGTGGAGGTGAGAACGACATATAATTAAAAATGTTTCAGGTGGCCAGGAACGACTACTGGTACTCAGCTCTTATTCAGGGTTAATCCTTTGTAACTTCGAAAATTCTGAATTTTAAAAACGCTCTCCGACTACAATTTTAAATGTCACTTTCTTTAAAGCAATAAGCCTTAACATTCCAGTAGTGGTCTATCCAGAGATGGTCCAACCCAAACTTTCTGCTCGATTTTCAGAAGTTCTCGTTTTCAGTCCCAGTTCACAGAGAGTAGTTAGAATATTGGTTGAAGAATAACTGAAATGTCTTAGTCCGGTTGAAAATTTCATGTTGATGTGTGTTTTCCCTTGATTAGTCTTTGAAGACCAGTTTTTGATGTGACATGTTGCGTGACATGTTATTACGTCACTGATTGCCCGTATGCGCATGTGGCGTTGTAAGAAATCTTGTGGTAGTGGATGAAGTTGTGGTTCGTAGTCCTGTTTCTTGTTTTTTGCTTTCTATCTAATTTAAGAGGATCGCATATTGATACATCTGACACAATGGAAAGCACCTATGAACTTTTGATGACGTTTGCATAAACGGCGCGAGGAAGTCAGGGATTCCATCGAGGGTCAAGGGTATACAAAAGAATATACAACACTGTAGTCACAAAATCTGTCCACATTCTTGGGATGCTTTTGTTCTTCCAGCTAATATGCCTGTTACGTGGCCGCATAGGCCCTGGTTTGAAGGTCGATCTGACTGTGCGGTCGGCGGTAATTACATGAATGTAAATTTTCGCAGCATTTGGAACAATGTTTGTTCGATACTACGACTCGTAAAGACGTCCTTACGTAATTTTCTGTACCAGGAGGGAGACATTTCAATTCGCCTTGCCCGCCAGAAATCTTCTTATCAGGAGAAACGAAAGTAGAGCCTTACCGAAGGCTCGTCCCGCTATCAGGACCTCTAAGCTTAGATTAAGATACGAGTGATTGCAAAGTACATAAATCCATATAATTTTAGTTAATCTAGGTTTTCAAATTGCTTGCTCCCCGTCTCATATTTTCGAGTAATTATTTTTAGCACTACAGTGGTATATTTTATGATTCCAAGCATTTTACGTCGATTGTCATTTGAAATCTTTCATCAGCTTTAAAGTAAGCAGAGTAAGCTTTTTCATGATTCACTATTGAGACTCGTCGACCTTGGGCCATTGAACACGGATTGAATAACCAATTAAAAGCCGATAAAAGACATCATGCTGCCAATCGTCATGTTGACCGTTGTTTTGTTTTACTCTTTTCGTTGCGAGCATATCTCGAACGAAATAGTCGATTTCAATCTGAGTCTTGTTTACTGTGTTGTTCAATTCAATTTCCAAGTTCGTGATTCCGTGGCGATTTCCTCTGTTTAACGCCCCCGTCGCAAGTGGAGGTTGGGTGCCCTTGGGCCAGTGGGCTGCAACCGTAATCACACTCCAAGGTGGAAGAATACCCACAGGCCTGCCAACCCCCAACCCAGCCACGAGCCCCCTTGCGCCCAGCCCCCCACTATGGCGCCCGTCACAGTGAGGCCAGAAGCCCAGTGAAAGTAAAATAAACAAACCCCCGAAACGAAGAAAAAACACCGGGACGGAGGGGGAGACCCTAAACCAAGAAAGCGGAGGGAAGGAGGGGAACCAAGAGAAACGCTACGCTGCTAGAACGCCACGCCACGCCACGCCACGCTAACAAAGCTTCGAATACAACGCAAATACAACGTAGGCACATGGCCTGCGCATGTGCCAAAGCAACATACAGCGGGACCGGAATCTGCCGCTCATTCTCACGAACAATGGTAAACGCTACAAACGCAAACATAGTCACGCAACAGCGCTACAGACGGCCAACACGCCGCCAAAGAACGCCAAAAACACTAAAGACCATAGCTCGTAGTCGTTAACTACATTAAATATGATCTAATAGTGTTGAAACTGGTACATAAGTAAGAAAGCGCGGTTCTCAGCGTCGATCAGTCCTGATCGCATCTCTAAGGTAAAAGCAAATGTTCGCCCGCACTCCCTAACCCTTGGTTACTGCTAGTAACAAGTAGAATTAACGCAAGATCAGCAGATTCATTACAACATTATTGGTGTACCTGGTTGGTCATGTCTCTCTTCTAAAAGTGATGATTCAAAGCCCTATGATATATAAAGTTTTTTTTGCTATGTTGCTCATTTTCTTCCAGCTCCTCCAAAGAAGGCCCCAGATGAAGGTGCCTCTGGAGGGACAGAAAATTTATCTCCATCAGAACAAGAAGGTAAATGAAACACCTATATGCATAGAACACACAGAAGCTTGTAGCATCATGCAAACAAACCTACTAATAACTCACATGGAGAAAGCTATGTATTCGAAATATTTATTTGCCGTCGAAAATCAAACGTTAAAAGGTAACAGTTACACTGTACACATGAAACCCAATGTGAAAAACAGTGGTCCATACGGGCGTGGTACAAGGGGCGGGGGCAGTGGTTGTGAAGAATCTTGCAACCTTGTAATCCTTGTCCACAGCCTTCTTGATTGTCGGTGTGCGCCAAGTACCTTGCAGGGCTCTCTCGTGGTCCATATGATTGCACACATACGATTTGCCTAACCCAGTAAGACTCGAGAACAAAGTGCCAGCTGCCGAGGGTTAAATAAAATAAGTTATGTCTGTTTCCAGTGAAACCAACATTAAGGGCTATATTCGAGACCATTGAACTTCCAAACTTGTCAGTGCAATGAATGTTTTAGAATCCAGAACTTAGATGAGGTAAAGCTGCTCTACTTTTGAGTAAGGTTATTACGGACAACTAGTGCTAGATGTACTTACTTGTTAGCATGCAAACAGGTGAAATTTTGCCTGTTCTATAAATAGAGGTTTCGCGAGCGGATGTGTCGTATTGGGCACAACCAGATCTTCAAAGCCAAACAATTTGTGACTAACAGAACTCCAAATCTGACTGGTCGCTCCTCACCACAAGAGATAGATAAACCGATTACAATCAGTTCTGCAGTTTCTTTCATTCAATTTCTATCTCTTTTAAAGTATGTATGGAATAGTAGGAGCAACGTAGTAAGTTATTTCAGTAGAAAGTATTTTATTGCTCCCTGCAGTATGCCCAAGGAAAGCAGAGGATGAAGGGGCCGCTGGCGGCAAGCAAGATTTGTCTGAGGCGGAACAACAAGGTAAGCCTTGTGAAAAAGAAAATGATTGTGGTTTGAAGACACTTATACATACTGTGTGACATGAAAGTTTCGCGGATTACAATTCTTTTTGGCGTTTCGCGGCGGGCAAATTTTCGCGACTTAAATAGTGGGAGCAAAGTTTCGCGGATATAGTTATGCGTACATTGGTAATTTAATATCGTGCCCTTTCCTAGAAAAGCTGTTGTCAGCTTTGCAAGATTCATCTTTAAGACTACGGGCGCTTCGGTATGTCACGATTTTGAAGAACAACTCAAATTGGATTGCTTAGTCGAGCTTACCTCCATGGTCCATATTTTACCGCAGCGGTAAGAAATGCACAAAGGGTCAATTCAAATGTTTTAACTCATCGGTCGTACAGAATTTGGCTTTCAATATACGGGTGAATGTTTTGATTCAGTGAACGAAACTCTTCCGACTAAAATTTTGGCGTCAAACCTTTCTCGGTTATATCTTTGCATTTACATTTACGTTAATATCATTCTTCATACAGTTTCATTTGTAGCCCTGCCCTTATTGCCACCCATATCTTCAGTTCCAACGCCAGAACCCAGTTTCACATTGAAACTCATAGTTTTACGGGATCTTTATTTTTGCGGGTCGTTGGAAAATCCGCAAAAAATTGAGCAAGGCGGATTCCGCGAAAATTTCATGCCACACAGTAATGACTATCATTATCAAGTAGATAACTGTTACTGGCTGTTCCATGAACTCTCTGATTCAAAAACTCCGATCTGTCTAGAATCAGAACATCAGTGTTAATACAACCTAATCCTTAACCTTCCGGAGCCCACCTTATGAGTCAGACGGAAAATGTATTGTAGGTCAAAATGGGCCACTTGTACGGTGATGTCTTTTTACTACTAAGACCGGAGTTCACTTCGTTTTCCTTTCATAGTTTGAATTTGGTAGTCCCAATGAGGCTTAAACAACAAAAGCCGAAATTTACATAAGAAAGCAATACCTTGAAGGATTCTGGTCGTAATAGTAAAATGAGTAAAATGACGTCATCGTGCAAACGGCCTTCTAAATGTTCCCTAGCCCTGATCTATGACAAATTACAGCTAGGAAAACAAAGGAAATTGAAAGTCAATGGATGTGAAGAAATTATCCGGAATTTAAATTTGACCTGTAACAAATTTATGAGACCATATCACATCAGATGTTTGCAGCTTTAGTGCGATGAAGAAAAGGAGTCCAACATGAGTGTCAGGGTTGCCTTGCATTCCTGTTTGACTCCTCTGTATTTACGCAGGTATTGTAGTGATTGAAATCAATTGTCTTGTTGGTCCTTTGTTTTGTGTTTATCAGCTACGCAAAGGATGGAAACTTGGGATGTCACGAGAACAGCTAAGTGGCTCTGCCAAATTGGACTTGATAAGAAGTATGCTATCACTTGCGAGGAGAAGTCCGTAAGTGGAAGAGCTCTGCTGTTGCTGGCCAGTGGAGGCGATAATCAAATCATGTCAGTCTTGGGTCTTAAAATGGGTCCCCAAGCGATTCTGATGAAAGGCCTTGAACCGCATTTACTTGCTTTTAAAGCAAACAAGCCCGAGACAAGGCAACGTTCAAAGCCATTGAAGGAGTGGAATATTGAGGAGCTGTGTAGTTGGTTTAGAGACATAGTCTTGCCGGAAGAATGCTTAACATTAGTACAAACGGAGGAAATTAATGGTCGGGCCTTGCTGTTGTTAAGAGAAAGTGGAAAGTTGAAGGAGTCTTTGCAATTAAAAGAGGGATCATGGATTGTTCTTGAACACGAATTATCCTTACTTTTTGTGGAAAGAGGTGACATTAAAACTGAAACAACCACAAGGATTTTTACAAACAAAAACACGCAGTTGATGCCGACACTAAAGCTAAAAGAAATGGCCGAATTTAAAGAGCCATTAGCGGCTAAGCAACATTCCATTGAGGAGACTCTTGAAATACCACCTGAGGTTGTTTTATCCAAGGAGGAGCAAGAGCTTTCGTTAATACGAGATTCTCTTAAGCTTGATATCAATAATACAAAGACCTCTGAGAACACCAAGGATTGTGTAGTGCGGTCAATTTTTGTTAAGCGGGGCAAAGGTGTCAACGCCCTCGAAAAATTGTTCAAGTTTATTGTGATCACCAAAGAGGAGATGGATAAAGACAAACCTCGAAAACTGTGGTCCAAAATTATTGAGAAAACAACAGAGTGGATAAAATTGCTACCTGAAAATGATTCCAAATCATTTGTTAGGGAAAGCGGATCTGATACGTTTGTTCATGTGCCCTCTGGCGAAAATTTGTCTTTAAGAGATGGAAAGGTTGTACAAATACCCCTTGGAAATATTTCAGACGATGAATACAAGCAAAGTGTTTTCATCTTATTGGTCGATAAACAGCTGCTAGAGGAGAAAAAAACGTATGTCTTTTTCTATGACAAAAAATTAAAGAACTCTTACAGTATTAGAGTGAATGCCAAGAGCAATTACCATGCGGCTTTTGATCCAAACAGTCAAGGTCTTGATCTTAAGTGGAGTAAATATTTCAGATCACTGATGACTAATGCTGGCGAATCACATATCGTTGCCTGTCCTCCTCAGGCTGATCCAACAAAAGTACCTGTTTGCAGTTCACCTCCTAAACAACCTCCAAGACCTTTTAACAATGATTTTGAAGGAAAGTATTATATGGAAGGTTGGATGTTGCCCTGTTGGGAAACCGGTTCTAAAGACCTGGTTACGCCAGCGCATGAGTTTAAACTTCTTCGAAGAGGTAGTAAAGACTCAGACGAGGGCACCTTTAAAAAGTTCTTGTTCGAGACGTTAAGGTTTGCATGTGGCTGTCTTAACGAAAGGACAAACGGAACAATACACTTTGGCGTTGCCGATGAAGTGGAAGGTCAAACATGTGGTTACGGACCGAGAGAAATTGTAGGCACCTGGGTTACTGACAAGCCCCGTTACAATGAAAAGCTTACAGAGTTTATCGATAAGTGTTTTGTTGGTGATAGTCGAAGCAATGTTCATAATTGTATTCGACCCCCTGTTTTTATTCCAGTGAAAGGCAGGAATGGAGAGCTGTATTCTGACTTTAACGTGGTCATTGAGGTCGACATTGAACCTAGCTATTCCATCTGTGCTGGTGAGATTTTCAAAGTAGGGTTTAAAAACCTTGGCCGTGGAAGAGAAGAGGATTTAGCCTACATTAGGCATGGCTCACAGACACAGGCAATTGTTGACATGAAACAAATGGAGGATTACATAAGAAACAGGCTTCCTAAATTGGATGAAGAAAGAAAAATGCGTGAACAGCATGCAGTTATTGATGTGGGCAAGCAAGTTTCCCAAAAGCGTCTTTACGACAAACTCAAGCGACTTCTCTGTGCAAACAGCGATGTTTTGGACTCCTCTGTCTACCCTATTCTGGTTTTAAGCAAACCGGATGCGAATATGGATCAAGAATTTCTCGACAAAACTTTCCATTTTATACGAAACATCGACTGGTTGATAATCATTGACTTTGATGACCAGGGTTCAGATACCAGTGGTCTGTGTAAGGTATTGAAGTCTGGTACGGAGAGGAAGTTTGATATACACGAGGCGCAAGATTACATGGATGATACCCTTATTGAAAACATAACGTCTAGTACTAACTGGATCTTTGCAAATGGATATGCAAAGCTTGACAAGAAGCCATTTGGATTTGTAGAATGGAATAACTCAGAGCGGAAAAAAGGCTTAAGCCATTTAATGCAGTCACTAGCCAAGATGGTCCCTGGTGTAAGGGCAGTGGTCTTGTTTTTGGTATTTTCTAATTTTAAAGAGTATGAGCCAATGGCTGATACTTTTAAAGATTTTTGCACGTTCTTTGGCGGTCCTAATCAGTTGACTTATGTTGGAGAAAATGCTGAGGATGTCACAGACTGGGAAGCAAAGCTTTTACAAACCTGTTTAATGGAACATGACATTCGAGAGAGAAGTGTTGTTGGTATATCTTGGAGTGAATTTCAAGAGTGCGTGCAGCAGATGGTTAAGGGAATTGATCGAAATTTACGTTATGTAACCATGGCGTCTGGGAGTCTTTGTCCCTTGAAAAATATTTCGTTTAATAATATCAGTATTGTTAGTGCGAAGGAATGTGAAGAATTGCGTAATTTAAGCTACGAGGAGCGCACAGACGTTTCATCAAAGGTAGAGAAAGAGTTTTACTCGGGATATCCTGTAACGTGGAGAAATTTCTGGTTCACGGATGACCAAAAGAATCATGTTCTTCGACGTGATAATTACTCTGATCTCAAACGGTTAATAGAAAATCTGCATTCCAAAGGCTCCGAGGGAAAAGTCCAAACGATCACCGTTTATCACCATATAGGAGCCGGGGCTAGCACTATGACTCGACAAGCCCTGTGGGATTTTCGGTTCGAGCCACATTTCCCCTGTCGTTGTGCAGTAGTTACAAAGATCGATGACAGTACTTGTCAAGAGATTTTGGTTCTTAGGAGAATTGGTTATAGGCACGAACGTCATGCGTTACCTCCAGTATTGGCATTGGTGGAGGACACAGATGATCACCAGTTTCGTGAATTACGAGCTCAAGTCGTGGAACATGCTCTGAAACTTCCCAAAACAAAATGGCCTGTCTGTGTCTTTCTGTATTGCAAGGAAACGCAGAATCCTCGGCATTGCTATTTAAAGGAAATGGAAACAAGTGTTTACCTAGAACAGCGCCTTAGCCCAAAGGAAATAGACTGGTTTAAAAACAAGTATACAGAGATGAAAGGAAAGTTCCACCACAAGGATCCTCAACGCGATTTTGATACATACGCGAGTGAGAACTTGATTTCGTTTATGATAATGAAGGAGAACTTTAATCCAAACTACGTATCGAGTCTTGTTGAGAGACATTTAAGAGAGGTGAGAGAAGACGAATTAACCTTGCTTGGATATACTTCTCTTCTGAACTTGTACAACCCCTACCCTGTGTTCGCTTCCTGCTTTGACACTACCATGTTGTCCGCAAGCCTACTAAGGAAAAGGATCTTTAGGGATTGGGTGAAAGACCTCACTCCCTCAGCTCGTATTTTCTTACGAGAAGTGGACGTCAGCCCACATCTTGGAACAGGAAAAGCAATTGAAGTGGTGCACCCAGTTCTTGCGAGCGTGTTACTAGACAAGGTAGCGGAGAAAAGAAATGCAACTGTAAGTCAAGTCGCGTTGCAATTTTTGGAATTTTTACATACACAGGGAAAGTCGTTAACTTTAGATTGGTTGCGTGATGGTGCGAAGAGTATGTTAAAACATCGAAAGAAATATGAATACGGTGATGACATACAAACGAAGTTCTCTCCACTGATTGAGAAGATTGTGTATGTAGAAGTCACAGAAGATGGAAAACCAAAAGCCACGGAAAAAAGTATTGAACAAGCTGCTGAAGTGTTAAAAGAGGGACTAGACAAGCTTCATGATCCAATGCTTGCCCAACATTTGGCCAGAATGTTTTACGTCAACGCGGAATTCTTCTCGGAAAATAAAATTGACTCATGCTTTTCCAGGGCAGTTGAATTCTGCGAAAAGGCAATTTCCATGAATCCGCATAGTTCTTGTCTGTATGATACTATGGGACGTATTTACGAGAGTAAAATGAATTTTCTTTATGGACCCATTCGTAAGGATTATCGTGTTGTCGAAGTTGATGAGGTCACCCGTGTTCTCCCACTCGCTTTCCACGCGATGGAGTGGTTTCAGAAGTCACTGGCTGCATCGATGGATGATCAAGCAGAAAGCGGTTTCCGTGGTGAACTTTCTGTCATGTTCTTCCTTTTGGACGTTTTTCGATGTGCACGAATTTTTAGGGGCCGAGAGGGTCTTGAAAAATTGCAAGGGTATCTCGCATACTGTCAGGTTATACCCTCTGAAGTTCAAAAACCATGGAATGACTTTCATGATGGAATTAGAAATCTGAGAAAACGTTACAGTTACTGTATGGAGGGACTTACAGAAGTTTTCGCCATGTATAAGGGGAACAGTTTGGAAGACAGAATGCTGCCCAGACAAATTGCTAAATTTAAAACTCAGTACCTCCGTTACTTTGGAGAAAGTGATGTAGAATGGAACCCCGAAAGTCCCGAGGAGCGGTGGGAGTACAGATGGTACAAAATTAATCAACACCTCGCCGGAGGCATTTTTTCAAGTGCATTTTCAGTTTATTGTTCAGAACGGAAACCAGGACAGACTCTCAAGTTACTTAACAAATTAGCACGTAACAATTATCGTGAGTCCGCCCAGGAACGTTATAATGATTTATTGCTTATTGTAGTAACAACTATGGCTCTTCATTCGCCATACAAAGAAAGCGGAAGATGCGAACAAACGCAACTCGTCGAAGAATATAACGAAATGTACGACTTTGTCCAAAAGTTATATGCACTGGAGAGGCGTGATGTAGGACCCAAGAGACTTTATGCACACTTGTTGAAAGTTATGTTTCTCTGGCCGAGAAAAGATCTGCAGCTCAGCTACCATCGTGTACAGGACTTTTATGATTCTTTGAAGGAGCTTAGAGAGAGGTGGGAAAGAAAATGCAAGGAACGCAACGATCCGGATAAGATACTGAAACAGAAATTGCACTCACACATTACTTTCAGAAGCGAAACAAGACAGTACACCACACTGTTCTATTTGGGTAAAGGTTCTGGTCTAGATGTGTTTGTTCATATAAATGAGCTTACCGAAAAAGGATCTCTAGATTGGGACAACTTGAAAACAAAAGAGAGACTAAAACGTCTTAAGGGAGTAGTAGAGAGCAAAAATATCATAAGAGTTCAGAATCCTCTCGATTCGAGCAAATGGATTGACGTTTACTATTCTTCATTTCGGGAAGGAGGATTTTCAAAGGAAGAGGTGTCTTTCTTCTTGGGTTTTAGCTGGCCCCAACCCACTGCATTTGACGTAAAGTATACTAATAGAGATCATAGAAAACAGTCTGTGGAGCTTGGATATCGACTTTTTGATGATCAACTCAAGTTTGTGCCTGAATACGATGATTTCGTTTACTTTGATTATACCTGGCAGCTAGAAAAACTTCAAAAGAAACTTAAAAGGATTGGTAAGTTAAGGAAGATCAAGGAGGAAGGCGGCAAACTGGAAGAAAATCAGGTAACTTTATCCTTTCTTCTTTGAAATGAGGAAATTTTTATTTTCCCTCAGCAATATTTATACAGTGAAATCTGTATTAAGCGGACACCATCGGGGAATGCTTCAGTGTCCGCTTAATACAGGGTGTCTGCCTAATACAGGTTTCGATATATAACGTCATCTGAGGTGTCAAATGCCATTCAAATGAGCAGTGGGAGCGTTAATAATGCTCCCAGAGACTATAACGATAGACGTTTGCATTAATTTCTTTATCAAAGTGAACCAATTGATCATAGTACCATAAACATGGATTGCAACTCAAATTTGAAGAAATCAGATGAGTAAAACAAGCTCTATACAAACAAAACGAAGTAGAAAACAATCATATACTGTGAAACTAATCAAATAAGTTGGTCAAGTCACGTTTTTTAATGTAAATATCGAAAAATTTGTGGGTGGCAATTCGAGGCAATCTTTCGCATTTCTAGTGTCTGGCATGTTGGGTGGTGGAATTTAATTACAACACAGGCGGCCCAGACGTAGTATGTGTCACTGAATGAATATATTAATATCCACATGGACAAGTTAATGCGATGAGTCGTCGAAACTCCCATGGACTAAAATAGTCTAAAAGTCAAAATATAACAAACCAAAGCTAAGATACCTTCAACTGAACGTATCCTTGTCTTTCCTGGCCGGTTTAAGTGGCATTTTGTTGAGTTTTGAAATTGTAGGTACTATCCACTGAAGAAGAATTAAAGGCTGGCTACAAAACAAACAGACCATCTCCACGCGCCTTCACACGAAGCGCTATAAATTCGAGAATAATCGACGAATCCGCTCCAAATAACCATCGGCTAATCTGCAGGTAACGTGTGCTCCTGCTTCTGGCTCGCTTGCTCCACAAAACCCATCACAACTGCACAATAATTGCTCGCTCATCAACAACCACTGTTGACCTTTACGCTTCGATATGACCGCAAACGACCAGGTTTAATACGCGACGTGAATATTCAAGCTTAGCGACCGCGTTCGCGCAACAATGCAGCACTTGCTATGGGAGGGATGGTACTATTGCTTCCAGGTCAATCAATCGGGAAAATAATATTGATGCCCTTGTCATTTTTTAAAAAGATCCAATTTGCCCAAGGAGCACCGAACAGATACGAATCTTATAGCGGAGCTAAAAAAAATGAGCGGCAGTGGAAAAAGTGAATAAGAACATGTACCACATTTTCTCCATAAAAAGTGAAAACCAGGAAGTTTTCTGGACGTTTCACGTTGCAGTCATGCAAATCAACGGCAAGGAAATGTACAAGAAAGTGTGCTGCAATTAGACCTATTGTTGTTTTTCACAGTTCTGGTCAAGGGCATCCAACTTTTAATTTTTCACATTTCACTCACCGGGTTAGGCTATTTTTCTTAGAGAGTAAAATGGAATCCTAAAATTTTCGGATTCAAAAATGTGATGAAAGAAGGTATCTGAAAAATTATCTCCTTCGTAATACGTTAAATTGCATCTAAAATTTTCGGGAAAATAATTCTGAATTCCTCGTAATTTCGAAAAGACTCAAGTTCCTCTAGAATGGCCGAACACTGAGATGCAAATTTTATAGCGCCACTTAGAATGCATTTCTATAGAGCTAAAAGTACTTTATGAATAGCTACAGAAGTGTTTTCAATTGAAAGTATTTGAGGAAACAGTCGTTGGGTGGCCCTGTCTCGTTGCCTTCTCCGCTTAGCATTACACGATATATTTTATATTTAGTATGAGCAAACTATAAATCATTAGCTTCGCTTTTAGCCCTCCTGACTAAATTTATGTAAGCGCTGTTTAGAATACATTTTTCGATCAAAAGTACCCTGGACAGCCTTAAATGTGTTTTCGATGCATTTAGGGGGAAATCATCGTTGGGTGCCCCTGAGTTTTGAGAATAATAATAATAATAAAAAAAGATATCGCGCACATAAATTTTACCTTACGATATCTTCAGCTGTATCTTCTATTCAGCTGCATAGCGGGGGCCAGATTTTGCCTTTTTCCTGGGCGGAAAATTCTCGTCCTCCTTCACCAGTTTGGACAACATATTATGGAGTAAGACGTTGTTAATCTAAGCAAATAAGTCTGGTAGAGTCAAGAACCTATGCAAGCGGCTGGACGAACAATGTGACAGCAGCTGAGACAGCGAACGTTAGAAGAATTCGAACATGAAAACCAGGGCTGCCCTGTTGAAAACTTACGGACGGTCCCGCGATCGCCTTTTGTTTTCTGGTCAAAACTAACGCAGCGAACCTTCGGTCAGTCGATTGACCTGGAAGCAATAGTACCATCCCTCCCATAGCAAGTGCTGCATTGTTGCGCGAACGCGGTCGCTAAGCTTGAATATTCACGTCGCGTATTAAACCTGGTCGTTTGCGGTCATATCGAAGCGTAAAGGTCAACAGTGGTTGTTGATGAGCGAGCAATTATTGTGCAGTTGTGATGGGTTTTGTGGAGCAAGCGAGCCAGAAGCAGGAGCACACGTTACCTGCAGATTAGCCGATGGTTATTTGGAGCGGATTCGTCGATTATTCTCGAATTTATAGCGCTTCGTGTGAAGGCGCGTGGAGATGGTCTGTTTGTTTTGTAGCCAGCCTTTAATTCTTCTTTAGTGGATAGTACCTACAATTTCAAAACTCAACAAAATGCCACTTAAACCGGCCAGGAAAGACAAGGATACGTTCAGTTGAAGGTATCTTAGCTTTGTTTTGTTATATTTTGACTTTTAGACTATTTTAGTCCATGGGAGTTTCGACGACTCATCGCATTAATTTGTCCATGTGGATATTAATATATTCATTCAGTGACACATACTACGTCTCGGCCGCCTGTGATTACAAGTGTCCGTGTAATACAGGTTGGCAACAATAGAAATGACCATTTCGGGTACTTTTTAGGTGTCCACGTCCGCTTAATAGAGGTGTCCGCTTAATAAAGGTGTCATTTAAAGTAAATTAGGGAAATATATTTGG